AACTCGCGTCCAAACTTAACCGTTTGAGAGTAAAGCGATCATGGGTTCTTCTTCTAGAAATCTTTATGCAGGAATTGGAGAAGGTCAATCAACCTCTAGGCCACCGCTTTTTGATGGCACCAACTACACATATTGGAAAGAGCGGATGAGAATTTATATCCGCTCAACCAACTTCCAGTTGTGGTTGGTCATCAAAAACAGCGAAGAAACGCCAACGAAGAAGGTCGATGAAAAACTCGTCCCAAAGACCGAAGACGAATTTGATGCCGAAGACATCAAAAAGGTGGAGAACTACGCCAAGGCAATCAACATGCTGTACTGTGCGGTCAATCCTGATGATTATCGCAAGATCTTATGCTGCACCACTGCAAAAGACATGTGGGACAAGCTGGAAGTCACATATGAAGGTACAGACCAAGTTCGGGAAGCCAAAATTGACTTCCTAACGCAGGAGTACGAGATGTTCAGGATGAAGGAAGGTGAAAAGATCGATGACATGTTCGATCGGTTCTCAAAGATCATCAACGACCTTCACGCTCTCAAGAAGACGTACGCCAACAAGGACCTTGTGAGGAAAATCCTCCGGAGTCTCACACCCGAATGGAGATCAAAGGCTGACGCAATCTACGAATCCATCGGAGTCTCCAATGTCACCATCGACGGGCTAAGAGGTAACCTCAAAACTTATGAATCTACTATTCTAACCCTGTATTTGGATGAACAAAAGAAGAAGGGAATAGCACTGAAAGCAACCAAGGAGACCGTGGAAGAAGACTCAAGCGATGATGACAACGAGTTCAGACTCGTCATCAAGAAATTCCACAAATTTATGAAGAAGGAATTTGAGCGCAAAGGAAGAAAGCACAACAGTCCCCCGAAGTGCTATGGCTGTGGTGAGATAGGCCACATCAAGCCGAGGTGTCCAAAAGGCAAAAGCGGCAAGGACAAACCTGGCTTCAAAAGGCAACGCGCCTACATCTCATGGTGTGGCGACTCTGGGGATGAGTCAACGGATCAAGAAGAGGAAGAAGCGGCCAACCTCTGTTTCATGGCACACGAAGACCACGTCAACGAAGTACAAGAGGTATGTACCCCTTCTTCCGACTCTTACACTTTTGAAGAGATGCAAGAAAGTTAAAAATGGATAATAGAAAATCTAGTCAACCTAAGGACACTAGACAACCTAGACAAAAACCTAGGAATGAAAATGTGCATGCTAGACAACCTAGGAAAAATTATCAAAATGATTTTGTGCATAAAAATAATTTTTCAAATAGACAAAATAATGCTAGGACACCTAGAAGAGAGAATTTTCAAAAACCAATATTTTCTCAAAATAGG